TCTGATATTGTGGGTAGAGGCGAGAGGGGGTCTAGGCCTTAGCACGGGGGAACCACTATGGAATAAGGCAGGTCCTGCAGAGAGGAGGAAATTGGTTGTGGAGCAGGTACGGTGTCAGGAGGAAGCAGTGAGGTATTCTAGGGCAGTGACTCAGGCTAAGCAAGGACAGTGGCTGAACTGGGAGAGCACAGAAAAGAGGAGGCTTAGTTGGAGGTACCTGTGGTGTATGGAGGCAAATTGTATAAGATTCCTTATTGGGGATACTTATGATGTGCTACCATCGCTGCAGAACCTCAAACAGTGGGTAGATGGGGACCCAGTGTGTCCCCTGTGTTCAGAGATGGCAACATTGAGACATATGTTGTCAGGATGTAAGGTTAATCTCTCACAGGGGCAGTATACTTGGAAGCATAACCAGGTTTGTCTAGTCTAATAAAGTGACACCAAAGTTAAAGATACTTCACATAGTACCAGCCACAGAGGAAGGCCCACTAACCCTTAATCCTCTTAAATCATGTACTTCTTGGGTTAGGGTTAGAGTTAGGGTTAATCTCTTTCAGTTTTTCTTCAAAGCTGGGGTGAATTCTATTTCAAGACTTAAACAAAAATTCAGTACACAAATTGAAAATCACTTCCTAATTTATACAAAAGTTTTTCCAGAATCAAATTCCAGTTTATTCCCTGAATTGGTTGAATTGAAATGGAATTGACCCTAGCTCTGTTGCTGCTGTACAGTAGATAACTTGCTGCTAAATAATATTTTTGTCAGAAGTGACCCTTAGTCTAAGGGCCTGTAAATGTACTAAGTGTACTGTCCTGTCAGTACATTTTAGCTAAGGCTTCAATGAAAGGGGCACGTTGAAGCCTGAAATGTTGGGTGTTGTATTATTTTTGAAATGTTAGCCAACATATGGTTTAAAATCAGAAGCTGTTGAGAGTGACAGTAATCACATCAGCCTTATCTTAATCTTAATTTTTTTTCAATGTCTTGCATGTATATTTACATTTGGTAATATATAAAGTGTATATAAATATAAATATATTTAGCTGTGTTAATAGAATTCCATGATGTTTTGTTTAGGTACCAACAGTTGATTGTGTTCAAATAGTAATGGAAAAAACCAAACTGTTCACTAGGGTAGTAGTTTTATTCTTTCAAAACTGCTGACTCGGGCCTGGCATTTTTTGGCCAAGTGATATGTCATGGGTTCAGAATATTAACAGATTAAGGAATTAAACTGTCTTAGGATACTCCTAGTCACTGCTTTGCTGTCATTGCAGAATCTAGGCAAAGGGTCTTTTTTTGCTTTGTACGCTGGTAAACTTTGTGTGGCCTTGTGTTGTGTGGCATTGTTTCTTCCTTATTCCTTCCTATGTTTTTCTCAGTTTGTTGTCCTCAGGTTTTGTGTGTATGTTTAATTTTGCACTGTGAATGAAGTTGTACAGTGCTTTTTGTGGGACCTCATGTTTTTGTTTTTTTTTTTGACGGTTTTCTGTACTTGTATCTGTGAGCGACAAGGGAGGCCACAATTTTCAGTTAGTGCTGATTCACTTTGTGAGTTATACATGCTGTTCTCAGATTACTGTTAGGTGCAGTGCAACCAGCCCCATGCTTAACTGTCTCTATAACACAATGACAAGATGCTGATAGCAAAAGAAAACTAATCCAGTATCTGAATTGTTATATTCCTCTCACTCAGATGAAAAGATCAATATGGTCACATCTGATTTGCATGTTTTCAATGTGTATGTTTTTTAATCATACTCAAACTGAAACACAGTGAAATCTCTATGTATTATTTTCAGGGGCTTCAGGTAGAGTCGAGCAGACAAAGATACTTTCCAATGACAAACAGTGGACACACAGCAGATTTAAACATGTATCAATGGTGAAACGACTAGCAGATTACATTCAGATGTTGCTGTATAAATTTCCTTCATTGAAGTCAGTTGTGTAGGAATGGTGTGAGAATTGACTGTTGAAACTTGCTTTACCAAAGCTTTTTGTAGTTGGACACTGGCCCCTTTAGATCCAAGCCTTTCCCTTTGGCATTTGGAAAAGTCATTCACAGGATTTCTACACAGTTCACTGTTTTACAGCATTTAATATTCATAGTATTTGAAGATTGTACAACATGAATAGAATCACTTCTAAAAACAGTTTTAGGTGAAGCAGTGCCTTTATAAGCATTTATATACATGATAAGCGTAACAGGAAGAAAAAATAGTCCTCTTGCTCCCTGGTGGATGTTTGAGTTGGATTTACAGAAAAGTCCCTCATTACTAATACCCCCAGGAACTTGAACTATGAATGACTCAGGCTTGAACACAGGCTTTCCTTCTCAATTAGTAATAAGCACCAGGCGGAAGCTTTGAGGAAAGGAGCAAGCAAGATCAATTATGCCAAATGGCTCCACTAATGGATCTAAATTTATTAAGTATGTGCGTAAGTTCAGGACTGGAGTAGCTCTTGTTGGCTGGGGTGGGTTGGGAGTCAGGGGTGGGAGTGGTGTATAAACAGTATTGGCCTACTAATGTAGTGTATGAATAAGCCTATTATAGCATTTTACAGTTCATTTGGTATGGCATGGTCCCCTATGTAGTTTTTCACTGGAGAAGCTTCACTTCAGTTTAGCAGTTCTGTGTATCTTCCTGTTTGGGTTTGGAAATCACACAGACACATACACACACTCATGCGCACACACGCACATATTACGTGTTATCACTTCACAGTTGTCTAGAGTGCTCCAAAGGAAGAAAAAGCAGACTTCTCTTGAAAACCCATGCAAATCCATAACCAGAAAAGTTTTGACTTGAAATTCCCTTAACCGTTGTGACATTATTACGTTTTAGACAACCACAGCCCAGACCTATTTTTACAGGATAATTAACTGTACATCTGTATATAGGTGCAGGTAAACACAAACCCTAGTCACCCGCTGGTATCCTGGTTATTAATCTACTGGGTTTTATTCTGAATCACCATCCAAAACTTTAAAATCGCAAAGGGTATGAGTCACCAGCATTTAAGTGTTCTTGTTGAGTGGAGATTATATTAGCAGGAAAAAGTACACTTTGTGAAGAGTGTATGAATATGAAAGCCACTGTGCATTATGCTGAAGGGCCAAAATGTTGGCTCACTGCTTTCTTTTATTTCAGTGTCCAGGACTGTGAGCAGAATGAAAACAATAACAGGGCTGCATTATGCTGCTTTCTTTGAGCGGCAAACCTGCCCGCTTATCGTTCGTGCTGTTATATTACAGGGCGCACAGAGAGGCGGCCACACGCATCCTCGACCAGGCCACACACACAGACACACACACACACACACACACACACTCTCTCAAACACACACGCTCCAGCCAGAGCTTGTGCCCCAGACAGTGGCCAAGTTCAGAGAGGCGACATTTCCGGTGAACAATGCCCAGCACAGACGGATCCTGACTTCCTGTTACTCAGTGCTTTGTAGCAGATGGTCATTGTGCAAGCATGCTCCTTTCCACCAGCTGATCCTTCCCTAGAGAGTCCAGGGAAAGTCAAGGGAGGAGGAGCTTCTGTAGCTGTTGCTTGGGAAAGGGGGGTTAATGACAGCTACACTGGACGCAAGCCTCTTTGTAGAAACAGACACAGGCTTCAGCGCTGGTGTAGTTTAGGAGTCAGGCACAGACTGTGACAACGTCTGTGAAAGGAAAAGAACTGGCCTCAGCATTTGTTTCACTGTTTCTAAATAAGGAGCATACTGTGTTTATTCCTTGTTCTTATCAAGCTACTCAGAGTATTTTCTTAATATTTTAAACACCTGTCAGATTTCTTGTCAGTAATCTCTCTCTATGCAGTTTAATTCCAAAGCATGTACAAAATGATTGTACCAAAATTGTACAATATAATAACAAATATTGCTATTATTATGTCTGATAGATATACAGAAATAATATGTCTGTATCTGCTTCTTACTATATCTGTGTCTCCCGGTCAGTCGAAGTCAATAGTTGAGGGCTAATTCATCATGGTATAAATTATTAAGTTATGGATGCCTGTAAGGCAGTTCTTTTTTTTCTTAATACTGTCACATGGTGCTCACAGGTTTGTATAAACTGCTCTAAACCTCCTGTTAATCTGTAATTCGCCCCATTCATATTCTTACAATTACACTTCTGACAGGTTTCACATAGGAGAAGGAGTCAAGGCTTTGCCCCTTCCATTAAGCTCCCCAGGCCACCTCAGCTGCTCATGCCCTCAAAAGGAGGCAGAGCCAGGGGAGAGGAGCACACAGTCACACGGTGGAAACCAAGAGGTCTGGCAATCATCACAGGCATAAAGGCGCTTTATCCAAACTGTTTTCTAATTTGCTTTTAACTGTGTATTCAGCTTCACAAGTGCGTTTCAAACATTAAACAGACAGAGGCTGCAGTGTAAATATTTAGCCCTCCCTGTTTAATAGTGTTCAAAGGCGTCCGACAGAATGAATGGAAGACTTCTGTCTTCCTCCAGCTTCCCTGTAAACAGTTCATTTTATCTAACTCTAAACAATGGAGAGTCCATGAGGAATGGCCACATCAAAATACTAAATGGAGAATACAGGCAAAGTCTGTTCATTTCTTTAATCCAAACTTTAGAGTGCTCAGTCTTTGCCATATTGGTGGTTGGTTCCCTATGTGATGTGAAGTGATATGCCGTAGTGGGATCACTACTTTGGTAGTGACGTTTTGATGATTTATAATGTGGTCCACATGGTGAAGCAGTGTAATTGCCTTATTTGTGATGTTTCCTTATTTGTGGTGCAGTATCAAGGAATGGAGCTCAGAGGGAATTGCCAGTGTGGTAATAAATGGACTGCATTTATGTAGCGCTTTTCTACTCACTTGAGTACTCATAGCGCTTTACAATTATATGCCTCACATCTACCTACCAGGGGCAGAGGTTGCCATATAGGGTAGCAACTGGCCACTGGGAGCAGTTTGAGGATCAGTGTCTTTCTCAAGGACACTTTGACATTCTGCTGGGAGGAAGCAGATTCGAACCAGGGACCTTCCAACCCCCAGTCGGCTGCTCTACCCCCTGAGCCGCTATCACCCCTTATAGGTTGGTTACTTGAGTTTGTCACATAGTAGGTCTGTACACCTTCAAAGGCCAGAGATATACAGGCAGATATCTTTTTGTTGCATCTGGGAGAGAAGACCTGCCGTAGAACTGGAAAGGTTGTTCCACAGGACAGAATTTGCATGTCCTTGGGCCATTTCAGATCTCAGTTTAAACCTGATCAGACCTCCCAGTTGTGAGCTTTTTATACCTTTTGACTTCTGGACTTGACTTTACCATGGTGCCAGGAGGTTACAGGAGGTTATACAGTAAACTAGCATGTCTAACACTTGCTTTTTCTTGAATTTCATCTCAAGTGACTCCCTTGTTCTTTAATTTCCATTTTCCTTTGGCTGTACCATCTCCACCAATTGTTTGACTGACAAAGGTGGGCTAGGGATTTTGTTCGACCTTGTTACTGGTGTCAAGAGTTTTTTTTTCAGAGTATGGGTTTTTAAGCCCCCCAATTTTTATGCTTGCTTTCTTCTTGCAACCCTGCTTGGAATTGTAAAAGAAGCTCATCTCACCTCAACAACCTCTGCAACCATGCAGAAGTGTTGAAATGAATGTACCCAGCCTATGGATATTTTTTCACACTACAAGTCACACAGTGCACCACAGTGAAGTGGGTACCATTTGGAGGATAGGTGCTACTCCACCAACTTTATTCAAGCAATTTACAGGTGCCTGTGGAATTGCAGGGTGCCTGAAAGTGGTGAAATGGGGAAACCCTGGCTGACCTACCTACCCATATCCCTGGCATAACAGGAGCGTCAGTGTGGGCTAATTTGGGCTCCTGGTCATTGTTGGCAGATGACATGGCTGGTTTTTGGCAGTAGGGCAAAATACCATTCAAAATACCTTTCTGACTGGGCCACATTGCCAGTTATTTCCAACACTGGAAAACTTCCCTTTCACACATTAACAGTAGATTTGAACATTGACTTTCTGTCAAGAACAGTCTGGCACACAATATTATTTTAAAGTCTCAGTTTGTCTTTCAAGTTTGTCTTTCAACAAGTTTGCCATGTCACAAATGCGACAAACCCCAGCTCAGTTTGAATTCTATAAGTATATTTTTGTTTCAGTTAGAGTAACCTGCTACAGTATTCAGCTGGCACTAGAAAAACACCAACCATAAAAATCCTTCACTTTGTGCATGGCAGTGCACAGATCAAGAGCAACATAAGTCTGCTCTTTTTATCTAGCAAAAAGAAATAACAAGGCTAAAAATAGCTACTGGGAATTCTGTGACTGTGCTGGTATATTACATGCTAATTAAATTTGAACAATTTCATTCATTTGATGTGAGTCGAATTTACCTGTGGGCATAAACTCATATGAAAAGGCAAATTGTTCATTTATTTAATTTGTGCCTGAAACGTACTGGCCAGAGACAGAGATGAAAGGAGACAGTCAACAGCAAAGGCAGAATATGGGCTTTTATCCAGAGCTGTGCTGGCCCTGAACTGTTGATAGGAGATGTGTTTTGGGCCAGACATGCACAAGGGCTGTGAAGAGAGACATCACCAAAGAACTGTGTAATAGCAGCAGGCCATGTGTCATCCGCTCCACAAGATGATAATTAAATACACCAGATTCACACATATTTTCAGCACACTAATCACTGATGTGCATTTCATTTGAATTCTCCCCAGATGTGCTCCAACTTCCTGCCTCTTTTTCTGGATGGTTCCTCATCCCAGCCAGGCAGTGCTGTGAAATCAGCCTCTGTTTGCAGTCATGCTGACGTCATAGTGCTGACAGTGTGATTTACTGGTTTTCTCCTCCCCCCCCCTTCTCTTCAAATACTTTAATCATTTCTGTAGTTTCTTGGCCAGCCTCCTGGAACAGTATGTGATTGCCAAAGGGAGGGTGAGCTACAGAGGAGTACAATAAAATGAACATTCTAAATAAATAATCAAGTTCTTTGTCTTCTGCCTATCTTTTCTCTTTCGGTGGAGTTTTACTGGAAAATGTTGCAGCAGCGTGAAAAGCCTGGATGTGCGAATGTAGGGTTTAGCCCTTTAAGGGGAAACGGTAATCCAGATTCTTCTACTATTGTGCTCTTGCTTTCCTGCCAGCCTCAGAGTGAGATGTCACTGAATTTGTTATGACTCACCCACATTTATCTAAAAAAAAAAAACACAACAACATTTAATTGTTGAGTAATGCATGACTCATTACACTGTCTCTCGCATAGATATTACCTTTAAGTGTTTTGGGACAAGGATGGAAGACATTCAGACATTCTTGAGAGCAGTTAAGAACAGATTACAGGCCACTCTATTTTGCTTGAATGTTTCTCTGAAATGCAGACTTCAGACAATAACTTTATAACCAAGAGCAGACCTCCACATTGTTGGCTGCCCATGCACAAGCCTGTTGTAAAATGGGGTTTGGAAAGTTTGCAGTGAGACTTTTAATGCACATCAGAACACTCATACTCAGACAGAGAGATGGTGAATACCAGCAATAATGTGAGAAGGATATGAGTTGGAGCAGCCTCAAAAAGAGGTTAATGTATAAAGGATAGGATGTATTTACTGTTATTCATACAGAAAACACCACACCTCTGCTATAGTGTTTTATGAAAAATTGTTCCCTGCACATTCCTCTGAGATAATGCTTCTGCAGTTAACACCTCTGACCAAGTTTGAACTGAACTTGAAGCCACACATGAAACATAATCTTTCTTCCCCTACCAGCTGCCATTCTTTCAGTCTCTGTCTCGGTCTAGATGGCTACTGTTTTATCTGGTATGCGGTGTCTCTGTCCAAATTTACACATACCATGCAACATAATGTGAATTTGTCTTTAAATACAAAAATGGGAATGAAAATAAGGACACAATCTGTCTGTCACAGTAGATGCATCAATTATTTTTGACATCCCCTTCAGACAGAAGGACCACTTCGATTGTGATTTGGATCTGAAACCACAACAATAACACACCAAGTAAAAACATGAATTTCCTGCAGAACACTGCTCCCGTAGGCACACACTCAGAAGGGAACTGTCTTTCTGCCCCTTTCCTCATTTCTCCAGTTCATTTCTTGAGAGAATGTCTGCCTGAGTTGTCACCATTGTCACGTCCTAAAGAAGCAACTCTTAAAGCAGCACCTGTAGTTCCTCAGCAGTTTTTTTCTTCTTGTGTTCATGCATCATTTAAGACCTTAAATGTACTCTGCTCTTGTAATGCTTCAGTAAGCCATTAGTTTACCCCCTTGTAAACATAGTTCCTTATTTTTTTAAAATTTAACAATAAAATAATGTGTATATTGATCATATTCCCACTCTAATGTGTAATGTGTTTTCCATTTGTTTAGATAAAATGAATGAAAAGCTGTTTTCATTTTGTTCAGTAGATTTGAATATTTGTTTGTATGCCCCACTCCGCTTGTTTTGTTATTATGATTTGTGGCCTTTGTAAATCCCCAATTTCATTGACAGTAATTCAGACAAATGTCTTTCAGCGTTGGTTGTTCTACCAAAGACAAGCTAAAAGATCCAGGCATATGAAAATTAATGAAACGCCTAAACATTTGATTAATACACCCCCAGAATGACACAAAGCAAATGAGCTGTCTATATTCTCAATATTGATGGGATGGTGGTGTGTTTCCAGTCAGTGTATGTCAATTATCATGAAATACTGTGTGTGTTGTCTGTGATATATCACTTTGTACATTTGCTTCACTGGTGCATGAATACAGAAGACTTCAATCAATACATCTGTTTGGATGAAAATGATTTACAAGTTTGCACTAATGGAGGGGTGTCAAGCTATGCCCATTGAAGGCTGGGAAATACACTGTGAGGCAGGAAACACACTGTGAGGCACACTTATGGTCTTATATGTTGCGTACTTATCTATACAGAAAGTCAAATGTGCTTTTTAAGAGATATTTTTTGTATATCAGAGATACAGAGATGATATGTAATCTGTCATTGTGCCCTTCAGTTGCATAGCATAACCTGATGAACATACATGTAACAACTCCATTTGCAATGAAAGCATGTATCTTTTCCCTTTTATTAAGCTGCCATTTTGTCAATCAAATTTGTTGAAAGTGTAGGGAATCTATTACAGGAACAAAAAGAATCATTAACACACAGGGTTGGTTTGTAACTGAGAGAGTTCAGTTCCATAGTTTACCTAGTTTTAAATTGTTCAGGGTATCTGAAATTGGTATCTGAAGAATAACAGAAAATAATCTCCATATCCTGTAATAAAGAGAATGGAAGCCCTATAAACACAGTTTGGAAAGGTCTGAGAAAGAGAGGGAGGAAAATGTTTTCTGGAACCTCTCAAGCATTGCAGCCACGCTATGCTGTAGATATAAATAAGTGCCCAAGCCCTGCAATGAGGCTGCGGCCAGCAGTGGAGCACTTCGCCAGATTCTTTTCCCATGGGTTGTATTCCTATATAAGCATGCTGGGCCCTGCTGCTCATCTGCCTGCTGGGGAGGGAGATACTCTCAGGTTTATGGCCTCACTGTTTTGACTTTCCACTGCGCCAAACAAGATAAAACAGGATAAAAGTGATGGACCTGCCCCTCCTGGTGAAACGGCACTCTGTAGTCCCAGCACATGGATGCCACTGCCCCTTTGATGAAGGTGCAGTCAGTGTCAAGGGGCTCTGACAGTTACATTACATTGTTGGCATTTAGCAGACACTCTTATCCAGAGCGACTTACATCAATTGTTTTTTTTTTTTTTTTTTTTAAAATGTTATCCTTTCACACAGTTGTATATTTACTGAGGCAATTGTGGGTTAAGTACCTTGCCCAAGGGTACAGCAGCAGTGCCCCCATGGGGAATCAAACCAGCAACCTTTCAGTTACAAGTTCTGCTCCTTAAACACTATGCTACACTGTCATTCCAGTTCCCACATGAGGGTTTTTTCCTGCTGCTACACAGGCACTGTTTGGCTTCTGTCTCTTACAAAGTGGCTGCATGCATTGCTTTGTGTTAACACTGGGTTTGTCACTCAA